GGGTGTGGTCAGTGAGCAGAGGGCTGTGGTCAGTGGGAATAGCACTAAAAATGGCGGAATGGGCATTGAGACTGGGGGAAATGGGCACTAAAAATAGCCCTGAGGGGGCGTGGTCAGTGTGAAAGGGGTGTGGTCAGTGTGAAAGAGGCGTGGTCAGTGAGGAGGGGGCGTGGTCAGTGGTGGGAACCGGGAAAATCCCGCGGCGCTCGCGGCGGCGGATCGGGAGGTACCAGGGAGTGCGGCGGTAATAGCCCTGAGGGGGCGTGGTCAGTGTGAAAGGGGCGTGGTCACTGTGACTGGGGCGTGGTTAGTGTGAAAGGGGTGTGGTCAGTGGTAATAGCACTAAAAATGGCGGAATGGGCATTGAGAATGGGGCAAATGGGCACTAAAAATAGGTCTGAAGGGGCGTGGTCAGCATAAAGGGGGCGTGGTCAGTGTAAAGGGAGGCGTGGTTAGTGAGGAGTGGGCGTGGTCAGTGTGGAGTGGGTGTGGTCAGTGAGCAGAGGGCTGTGGTCAGTGGGAATAGCACTAAAAATGGCAGAAATGGGCACTAAAATTAGCCCTGAGGGGGCGTGGTGAGTGTGAAAGGGGCGTGGTCAGTGGGAATAGGGGTGTGGTCAGTGAGAACCAACCTAAAAATGGGGGAAATGGGCACTAATAATGAGAAAATGGGCACTAAAAATGAGGAAATGGGCACTAAAATAGCCCTGAGGGGGCGTGGTCAGTGTGAAGGGGCGTGGTCAGTGTGAAAGGGGGTGTGGTCAGTGAGGAAAGGGGTGTGGTCAGTGGGAATAGCACTAAAAATGGAGGAAATGGGCACTAAAAATGAGGAAATGGGCACTAAAAATAGCCCTGAGGGGGCGTGGTCAGCACGGAGTGGGCGTGGTCAGTGTGAATGGGGGCGTGGTCAGCGTGGATGACCAATGGGAATGAGGAAATGGGGGCGTGGTCAGCACGGAGGGGAGTGGTCAGTGTGAAAGGGGGTGTGGTCAGTGAGGAGGGGGTGTGGTCACTGGAAATGGGGGTGTGACCACAGGGAATGTCTTTACCCTCCCCTAGGCCACACCCTCCTTATAACTCCGCCCAATAACTAAGCCCCTTCCCCTCTAAGCCCCGCCCTCACCTGGGGGGTGACCCCGCCCCAGAAGTTGGGAATGTTGGGCCCCCATGACCCCACCCCCAGTTTGGCCACACCCCCTTTGGCACCGCCCCATTTGGCCACACCCTTTTTTGACCACACCCTCCCTGCGACCCCGCCTACTTTAGGCCCCACCCCTTTAAGCACCGCCCCATTTAAGCCCCGCCCTCACCTGAGGGGTGACCCCGCCCCAGAAAATTGGAAATGTTGGGACTCCCTTTACCCCCGCCCTCCTCAATGACCACACCCCTTTGGACCACCCCTGTTTTGGACCACAGCCTCCTCAATTACTCCACCCCTTTTATGCCACGCCCCATTTTGGCCACGCCCCCTTTAGGCCCCTCCCTTCCACCAGAGGTTGGAAATGTTGGACTTTCCTTCATCCCCACCCCTTTATGCCCCCACCCCATTTAAGCCCCGCCCCATTTATGCCCCACCCTCTGCAATGACTCCTCCCCTTTTAGGCCCCGCCCCTTTAAGCCCCACCCATTTAGGCCCCGCCCTCACCTGTGGGGTGACCCCGCCCCAGAAGTTGGAGTAGGCGGCGCGGGAGTCGAGCATCGGCGCCACCAGCGTGCGACCCTCGGCCATCAGCAGCGACAGAGTGTCCGGGTGGAGGAGCACGTTATCACTGTCCAGGAACTGGAAATTGGGAATTTTGGGGTGAAAATCAGGAATTTTGGGAAAATTGGGAATTCTGAGAAAATTGGGGAAATCCCAAAGATCAGGAAAGTTGGGAAAGAGGGAATATTGGGGACAGTGGGGACACCCCCAGTGTGTCGGGGTGAAGGAGGACGTTATCGCTGTCCAGGAACTGGAAATCGGGAATTTTGGGGTGAAAATCGGGAATTTTGGGAATTTGGAAAAAATCACGAAGATTGGGAAAGTTGGGAAAGTGGAAAAATAGGGGAAATTGGGAACATTGGGGATGCTGGGGACACCCCCAGCGTGTCGGGGTACAGCAGCATGTTATTGCTGTCCAGGAACTGAAAATTTGAAAATTTTGGGAAATTTGGGAATTTTGGGAAAATTTGGAAAATTGGGAAAAACCGCGAAAATCAGGTAAGTTGGAAAAGTGGAAATATTGGGGACATTGGGGACATTGAGGATGTTGGGGACACCCCCAGTGTGTCGGGGTGCAACAGCACATTATCGCTGTCCAGGAACTGAAAATCGGGAATTTTGGGGTGAAAATCGGGAATTTTGGGAAAATTCAGAATTCTGAGAAAATTGGGAAAAAATATGAATTTTGGGAACATGAGGAAAAACCAGAAAAATCGGGGAAATTTGGGACACTGGGGACATTGGGGACACCCTCAGAGTGTGGGGGTGCAGGAGCACGTTATCGCTGTCCAGGAACTGGAAAATTGGGAATTTTGGGGGGAAAATTGGGAATTTTGGGAAAATCCAGAAAAAGCGGGAAAACCAGGGAAATCGGGGGAATTGGGGACACCCTGGGATCAACAGGATGTTATCGCTGTCCAGGAACTGGAAAATGGGGAATTTCAGGGTGAAAATCGGGAATTTTGGGAAAATTGGGAATTCTGAGAAAATTGAGATAATCCCGAAACTCAGGAAAGCTGAGAAAGTGGAAATAGTGGGGACATTGGGGACACCCCCAGTGTGTCGGGGTGCAGGAGCACGTTATCACTGTCCAGGAACTGGGAAATCAGGAATTTCGGGGTGAAAATTGGGAATTTTGGGAAAATTGGGAATTCTGAGAAAATTGGGATAATCCCGAAACTCAGGAAAGTTGAGAAAGTGGAAATATTGGGGACATTGGGGACACCCTCAGCGTGTCGGGGTGGAGCAGGACGTTATCGCTGTCCAGGAACTGGGAAAAAAATGGGAATTTTGGGGTGAAAATCGGGAATTTCAGGGTGAAAATCAGGAATTTTGGGAATTTCAGGATTTTCGGAAAATCGCGAATATTGGGAAAGTTGGGAAAGCAGGAAAATCGGGGACATTGGGGACACTGGGGACATTGAGACACCCTGGGATCACCAGGACATTATTGCTGTCCAGGAACTGGCGAAAAAAATGGGAATTTCGGGGTGAAAATCAGGAATTTTGGGAAAATTGGGAATTTGGGAAAAATATCAGAAATTTTGGGGAGAAAAAATTGGGAATTTTGGGAAAAAATTGGGATTTTTTTTGAAAAAAAGGGTGAATTTTTGGGAAAAAATCGGGGTTTTTTGGGGAAAACCCCCAGCAATTTTGGGAAAAAACTTAGAATATTTTTTTAATTTTAAAAATTGTGGGAATTTTGGGAATTTTAGGGAATTTTGGGAATTTCAGAGGCGTTTTTACCAGGATGTAGTCGGCCCAGCTGGCGCGGGCGGCCTCGAGCGCCTCCTGCCGCAGCCGCATCAGCCGCTCGTAGCGCGACGGGGGCCAATGTTTGGGACCTTCTTCATCCGGGTATGACCTGGGGAGGGGTCCCAGAGCACCCTCAGACCCCTCCCCAAATTCGGGGAACCTCAAAACTCAAAAAATCCCCCCAAAATTCCCCCAAATTCCCCCCAAAATGCCCCCAAAATCCCCGCAGAATC